AACGGATGGATTCGAGGGTGGATACCACCTTAAGTGCCTTGCGGAAGGGACAAGAACACGGTACGTATCGCTCCTTCATTCCTGCCATTGACACTGACAGAGTGACTGAATCTTCTCTCTCCAGACAGACCTCACCTTACCTTATTCCGACTTTCCGAGACCATCTTGGGACGCATCCTCTTCTAATTGACTTGCATCACCGTACAGTCACTCTGCATCATGCTCAAGACAGCATACACATGGAGAGACTCGGTCTCCGAGCCAGCAGCGTAGACGACTGCATCTCCCCCCCCCCCCCCAAACCATGCCGCGCAATCGAATCTCTAGGCGCACCATCTATATGAGATACCTCCCTACTCTCCTTCGGAAGCCCCTGGACCAAAAGAGCAAGAGTCCGGAGTGGATGCAATTCGACGAAGCGGAAACACGGAAACAAGGCAATAGGAGAAGAAGAATAACAAGAATAAGAGAGCCACGCCACACACGGCAGAAGCGCTGTCAGATGGATGAGCCCTGTCTGCCTCGACGGCCATGTTCCATTGCCACGGAGACTATTCGTACGCATACAGGGCATCAGTAGACTACTGGCGAACCCCCATGGAACTACGAATACAATTCTACAGCTAGAGACGCTCCACCACGAGACTGTGTCGTCCGCATCGTGACGCTTCCACTGCCAGGAACCGAGGGGCGCCGAGACGCGAGAGGGCCTGTTACTGCTCAATAGAGGGGCGGAAACACTCGAAGACTTCTATCGCTAAAGGAGAAACACATTAGCCCTCTTCTAGCCATGCTGGCCCTGGCTCACCCTCTTCCATCCCTGCTATTCCCCTGCAGCGGCCCCGGTCCAGCTGCGAGCTCTGGTCTTTTCCTCCGTCCACTACCCACCTCTCCCCTGTCTGTCATTCCCGTCAACCCTCTCAACTTGTCTAGGGACACACACACACACAGAGCCAATGCCGCAATTCCAGGGAGAAATACGGATATTCCTGTCGCCTATCCGTACTGACTACCTTACCGATACTCACCTACTGTACGGAATTCAGACACCAAGAGCTTGACTGCTTTCAGATGATGCTGACGCCGTTTCGACTCTTTCGCTGTTTGCAGACATCCTCACTGGCTTTCAGACCATCCGCCCGAAGCCGTGTCTCTGACTATCCTCTAGCGCATCTTCTACCATCCACTTCTTTGATGTGCTCGTCGGCTTTCGTTGTCATCTCATACGCCATCCGTACTTTCCCATCAGATCGAATCGACATGAGACGGCATCGCATTCCATCCTATCAGCCACCGCTTCTCCACCTCAACTGCCTAGTTGACTTTGCGGCGTCACCGGTCGAGCCGTTTGTTTCCCCAAAACTCCAACACCGAGACCAAGAGGAACCGGCAATCGTCCCGGCTCCGGTTGTTGGCGGCATTCAGCGTCGCACAGTTTCAGGCCGGCTCCCCAAAGAGTCAGAACATGGAGAGCCAGACATCCATGGAGGACGCCATCTCGGGAGCCGGATCGTAGCCTGTGTCATACATGGCTGTGTGTGGCATGCCATTGCAACTTCATATTACCCACCTCCATCTTGAACGCCCAACCCGGAGCTCATCAATCGCCGCCGCGCTGGTACCGAGCGCATTCCTGCACAACTCCGGAGACACTTCGTACTTCGAAATGTACACGGTGCCACGGGCAGGTTTTCTTCTCAATGACACGCCAGCGACCATTACACCCTCCACATGCGTGCCATTTCCACATAACGTCCTATGTCGGTTCGCAAATCGCATCACATCAGCTAGAAAACGGCCACCGTCGTTCCTGACTCTTGCGACTCTGCACTAGTCCTGCTCATGTGCCGTTCCGAGCCTCCAATGCGACACAACACCGCTTGCTGGTCTTGCTCTGCGGCTGCTCCTGCCGACAACGACAGGGAAGACAAGAGAAGCAAACAAAATTGGCCGCCGGAGACTTTTCGTCACTTGACGCAGACGTACGGATACGGATACCTGCAACTCCAGCCTCTATTTTAAAGTCGTTGTCAGAGAGACGCATCTCGAGCGCATCGTTTAACGAGAATCTCCATACATCTTCCCCCACCGCTACTTCAAGAGACATCAGCATCAGACCATATCTTGTAAACCAAGAACTGTCTCCTCTCTCGTCACTTTTTTAACCGCCGCAGCATCCATGAAGCATACTTGTACGCTGCGCACTTTGTCTCCTACCTACGACGCCGCGGAGCGGATCTCAGGGACCGAATCTTCCACCTTGCTCTCCACTCGTTCTCATCCGCACAGGTGTCCAAGCTCTTTCATCGCCGCCTCAGTGTACTGCGTATGCAGCGTCCAAGTCTGGTCCGGTCTAATTAGTCCAGCGACATATCAGATCTAATTGTCTTGAACCTGCAGTTGGGCGGGCGGGCGCACTCAGATATGCAGCACATGCAGGCCTCGCATGGCATCGCATCGCGTTGCATCGCATCAACCATCAACGCTAATAAAGGGACCCAAGCTAAAGCCCATGTGGCCTCTCCAACATGAGGCCAGTGAGACCGCACCCATCTCGCATCGCACGCCCGACTGGCTAGTCGCCGTCATAGATTAGTCCTGGATTCCAGGCTCCTATAGGGACCTGGACAGCTCTGGTTGTAATTCTGGCATGGCCACTCCAAGCCCTCCAAGCCCTCCTGTCTCCGCCAACTCGCCAACCTCTCCGCCATAATGCTGCACCGTTGCGGAGATCTTAATGCATGCAGCACACCACGGCCTCCGAGGGATCCATCAGCCTATTTACTGTGCCTTGCCTTTCAATGCGCGCCTCCTGGACTAGACGGCCTAGTCTACACAGTAGACCGGCCTGCGCCGCTCGTCCCTGGCAAAAAGTGGCCTGTCGGGCAAATACTAGCTGGTCATGTGCGGGAATTGGGCCAGGGCCCTCGATACTCAGCCGTCAAGATGGTGTCGACTTGCTTGCTTTGCTGCAGAAGTTCCGGCAATCAGCTACGGGCGACATCCTACTTTGGACAGACCAGTGCAGCCGACATCCGCCTTCAGCTCGTTGCTCCAGAATAACGCAGTCCTATCTACCATTTTGAGCAACAGCACGCCGCTGCCCTCTCCCACTTTCACAATGCCCCTGGCCGTCGGCAGTCGAACCGATTTCGATTAAGGTGTCTCCGTGCGAGCCCGGCACCTTGGATATTTGGACTGCACCGACCATCTGGTCAATGTCCTGCTTGGTTTTCTCGGCTTACATCAATCTTTGCTAGAGAAGATTATGCCTACCGCCGCACCCAACGACAACCAAGTTTGTACGGATACGCCTCATTCCCTACGGATAAACATCCCCCGCATTCAAAAAAGAAACAAAGGCAATGCCAGCCTACCGCTTGGAGACGTAACGCTTATGACAGATCAAACGCACGCAATATCTCTGAACCACCAAACGTATGCGCCCCTGGCTCAACGTCGCCAATCTTGCAGGGCACGCAGGAGCGGAAGCGGCCAGGATCAGGGTTGACCACACAGAAGACGGATTTAAGGAGCGGACAAAGCACCCCAATCCGGGGCCGAACAATGGGTCTGTTATCAACGGCCTCTCATCTCTCATCTCGCTGACGCTCGAGCATCAGAGCGTTCAGTCCAACCCCCATCAGAGACCGCATCGTCGTCAGCGATCGTCCCCTTACGCCGCAAGCGCTGCTATCAGCTCCTAAACCCAGATTGAACTACTCGCCCGAGCTGTGCGCCCGCCACTGTGTCTCCGTCCGGCCGATCGAACCAACCGCTTTTTGTCTCGGGTGGGTTCTTTGCACAGCTTGTTCAGCTTACCAAACACGGCCGGCCCGGGATAACGTCCGCCGCCGAAGCCCGGCGACATCGCCGTAGTCCCTATTCCGTTCCGAGTGGTTCAGATTCATCATTTTCCACACTCTGCACGGATACTCCGCAGGGATGGGATACAGACATCCGTACCGATTCAGCACTCATGCCTTGTATTGTCAGGCTGTCAGACCATCCGTCGACCGACTTGACCTGGATCTCGTGCGAGTACCGAGGCTCCAGTTGATGGGCGCCCCGAAACAGCCTAGTTGGTTGGCATCACGCAGGTGGCTTGCGTTTGAAGGGCGGTTGGCGCAGTGCAAAGACGATGCCCCTGATCCACCTCTGAGGAGCCTCTCCACATACTTTAACCCTCTTCGCTTGCTTTTTCCTCTTAGACCTAAGCAGACTCGATCATCTTGGCCAGTTGTCAATCGCGTGGCACTGATGCGGGTTTAACGCCAGAAATGCCATCTTGGACATGACAGCCAGTCTTACTGCCTACCAGAAGGTCCTAGACATATCCACTCATACCCCGCCAAGGTCCAGACCAAACATTGAGATTCTCGTGTGGCTTGCGATATGCGCCAATAGCTTCGGTCAGTTAGGTACTTGAGTGCCTCGGACTTCCAGTCCATCAGGTAGGTAGGTGCATTCCTACCGCTGCCTTCACAGCATATTTGCGCAGTGAGATGTGCAAACAACGAGCCAGCGCTGTCACTCTCTTACATACTCCCCTCGGCGGAAGATACAAGTAGTGTCTTACATCAGGGAGATGAAGTCGTCTTCATATTCCGGATGCAGCACCCGTCAGACCGTAGACGGGATCGCTGAGCATTGTCCTACGCCCACAGTGTCTCACAAACCCTACGAAAGCGATCTGTACAAGTAATACACTCTGACACTGCGGACTGCACCCTTGCCAATGAGCACAAGCCGCCTCAGCACTAGCCACTTTACAGTAGCATTGGGGGCATCGTATTCTTTCAAATCGTGGAGAGACGGGGATATTGACTCGTACCTTACGCTGAGGATCATGAAGAACCGGGGGGAACTTTCGCCTTTTGCTCATCATTTGAGCGGTCCGTTCCTGTATACACGCCCACGACGCCCTCTGAGGCAGGTCGACTGGCTTCCAGATCATGGAAATCCCCATTATGGGATTCTCGCCCTGGATGATCCCACAGCAGCTGGCCGCACTAGATGACATGTCTAAGACATGAGCTAGGGTCGTTACACATCATCAAGCGGTGATGAGAAGTTATCCCAGCCATCTGGTTTGTGCTCCTCCAAGGAAACAGGAAACAAGTCGTTTACCAAAGTTCTGTCTGGAGAATGCATCAGTCCGTAGGCCACGGCGAGAACTGGGATCGACAGGGTAGCGTCTCGAAAAAGCCCGTCCCTCGTTCCGACGTGTTAATTGATGATCCTCGTGCGGAGGGGCAACGTGGTGTAGCGGGTCAACAAGCTATATCCACCTCGAAGCGAGGACGATCGCGAGGTCTTGAGGTTGCAGTCTCCTCCGACAAGTTAATTACGCACCCTCTCCACAGACTACAGCGACCACTGAGCTTCAGGTGCACCCTGCACGTAAGCTTACTCTCGTCACTACTCAGAACCCAGAAACCCGGAGTTGGCACTCTGTTGGGGGGTTTGGCAAAAACCTGCTGCCTGAGTCGCAGTGTAAATGAGCGCCATGCAACACCGGCCCGATGGCGAGTCAGGATGGAGTGCGATTTCGGGGAACGTTGCACGCGGAATGTCTCGCTCAAGCGCTGGCGCTGGGAGTCGGCCGACCCGTGCCAAGATCGAGAAAAGGCTTTACGGTTACGGAGCACGGGGCGACGCCCTTTTGAGATTTCGAGGATTCGACGTTGCACGAGGCTTTGCCCGACCGGTCGCATCTTTGCGAGGCGGCGGCTCCTAGAGTGCCGGATACCAATAACGACGAGAGGGGCTTGACGGGAACCCTGGGTTCGGACATTGCTCCTTTGTTCGAGTTATGACTGACAGCCCACGACAACGTTTTCAAGGAGTTGATCAGCTGAACGAAGGCTTCCAGAAACATGTGAAGTCTTTTGGTATCAATGGCTGAAAGGGAGCAAGAGGTCAGAAGACGCGCAAGCATGCTGCAGAACGGCTGGTGACATTCGTCTCATGTAAGCGGTTCTCGATCCGGTGTATTTGGCTGCCTTCCTCCACGTTGACGCCCGAGCTCTTTCACCGGTATCAGTATCGCTATGAGGAAGGGCACATTGATTGCCAAGGTGCGAGGATGAAGAGCTGATACGATTGCCCTTTGTACGCAAGGAGCTGACGCTTTCAATCCTGTCTCTCGTGGCCAAGGCATCGTTTCCTGTCTGCAGTTCAGCGGGTGTGCCAACATGCTCTTGCGGATGGCCCATTCCCTTCGATCTCAGTGCTACCTTCCGATGGAGACTTTGCAGCTGTGGAAAGATTTGGACGTACTCAAGGCTGAGATATACTGTGACCTGTCAGAGCCTGTATTCGTCAACAGGCTGGCCATTAATCCATTTACATTGTTCAGGGAGAAGTCAACAGATCAATGCGGTAGGTGATGATGAGAATCTTATCATACGACTTAGTCGTGTAGTCCTAGCGGATGAGCTAAGAAATTCAACGAGATTTCTATCTTATGCCGAAGGAACTGGCATAGTCCACTTGTTCCAAGTAGACATTGCAGTACTGCCATACAAGTTTGTGGCGAACGGGGAGTAATGCCCCAGCATGAAGTTGACGTGCTCGTTGCCTGCCCATACAACTAAGGTAGGTACCTACCAAATATAATTCACAGCCTCGATTCTGGGGACGCAGGTGTTTCACTGCGGCTGCCTCTGAGTGCCGTTGGTTGCATCTGCGACCTCGAAGAACTCGCTCGAAGCTCGACGCTCGGCTCATGTAATTGGACTTTTGGTCTGGGACCGCACGTTTCTCTAAGGGAGGAAGGGGTTTATCTCAGTTTCAGTGACTCTTTTAGTATTCCGTCTTTTTCAGATGGTTATACTTGATGGAATACCGGGATGTCGGACGTGGCGGGCAAACACGAGAGGCGGGTGAGGAAACCTCGTTCTATGAGGCAATCCTGCGAAGTTCCTCTTTAGCCTCGTGGTTTCAGAGGCTCGAACAGATGGCACTTGATGCGTCACCTCTATGAGGAAGACAATGGCAGAAGGAATAGGCTGAGTTCAATGTCCCTGTTGAGGAGGAGAAGATAAACTAGGTATGATCTTTGAGCTTTTATACTAGCTCTTGAATCGGCTTCGGTGAGCAGAGGCAGCTAGCAGGCTCTGCAGACAGTTCTGAGTGTTCGATGGTGAACGAGAATCCGAAGGAACCACGCGCTTTGCCGTGGGTGTCAAGGAGATCTCATGGGATTCAGGTAGGAATTCTCTCGTTTGGTTTTGTATCTAAATAGCCTACGCTTCGAACGTGTCGTGTTGGTTTTGCAGAAAGTGCAGGACTATGATGAGAAAGCTATACGATGTTGACTTTTCGGTCCGGAATGGCGGTTCTGACGAGTAGGCACAGGGCACGTTAACCTATAGGCCCTATATCTTCTAGCCCGGTGACTAGCTTTTGAATTGCGAAGTGATATTTGACTTTTTTCTGGGCAGAGAGACATACTTTGCGGAGTCATGTCTGAAAACTGTGAACATAAAATCAACGACTTAAAGTCACTGTCAACGCCACTGTCGATTCGTTCTACTTGTAGGAGGACACAACCGACATAGATCATTCTGATCAACCGGTATAGGGTCGTAGTTCCTGTTCCTATAGTGCATTACAGATTTTGATGGCATGATTCGGATATAAGAAAGCTTGGGTTGGCGATCTCATGCTCATTCTTGCAACTGTCTTGAACACTCTAGGAACAGCATCGATATCAGGTCTCGTAGTCCACCAAGCTGCTCGTGGAGACAACCATATATCTACTCTACCTGTCCAACGTTGCCAAAGCTGAACTACGTTCAGGTGCTGAATTCGTGGTCAGACCTCTCGAACACCCTCCGCCAAACGACTAGCGTTGGTCTCGTTCAGGTCTGCTAGTCAGTCAAGTCTCTGTGTTGGAACGTCAAAACGTCCACGTAGTTTCTGTTGGCTAAATGTGTGTCATTCCGACTCCAAAGTCAAATGCCAGAATATCTCCTACTTGAGCTTAGTGAGTTACACCTAGGTAGCGCCAACGGACCACCATGTTTGCCCCGAACCCAGGGTCCAACCTTGCATTAACGCTCCCACGCACGATTCCTTCTCTGCTCTATGCTCACCTTTTCTCCTAGCGGATTTTCTTGTTAATGCTCCTCTCAATTGGATGGGTTTACGGTGATACCAGTTGCATTATTCATGGGCATGCATCAGCGTCGTCGCAATTAGCGGTGGTCCGATGCACGGGGACGCACCGGATCGGCGCGCTTCCGGGGCGCGGTTTCGAGTCGGTGGGCTTTTTTGTTTTGGTACACCTGTCTGGCGGGTATGGCGGCAAGAAGAAGAAGAAGAAGCCAGTTGGGCGAATTAATGCCATTGAAGGAATTGACGACGGGAGTTTTTGTCGTTTTCAATGTTTTCAATAATTTGATGTGACCTTTTCTATTTGTTTGATGTGTTGATGGCTCACATGTATACCGTTTGGTGATTGCGATATCCCACTCGCGGCTTTCAGGTTGCATTATAGCCTTTCAAGACTTTTTGATTCGACGTTTGGCCGTTGCACTTACACAGCCTGATATTCGATTGTTCTATGCAGCGTTGCAAAGGTTGGGGGAGACTAATTCACGCGCGCGTCCATACATCGCACTCTGTCCAGCAACCGAGATCGCGCCCCCCGAGGCACGCTTACTCTTCGAAAAAGGAAAAGGGGGAGATAGCCGCGCATCGCGATGGCGGCACTCTTATCAACTTCAGCGTTGAGGCGCAGGCTGAGAACGGCTATCGACAACGACTCTCCCGGGAGGCGGCTATGGAGTTGGAGCGGGCCGAGTCAGGAGGTGGAAGAAAAGGTGGAAAAGGCGACGGCTTCGTTGCTCTCGTGGGAAGAATTACGTGAGTTGACCCAGCCAATCTCATGAAAGCTGCCTTGCTCGGAGTGGAAGTTGACGCTTATTCGTATAGCTGAGTGGCAACAGTGAGTCTTTTACCTCATGATATTTCGGAACAAGCAACTAAGTGAAACAAGATGTGGGAGCGATCATATAATGACTGGGTATCGGTGAGTATTCTTGATCAAAGGTGGTGATCTCTGATCATTTGTTCTAATGAAGTCTGAGATAGAGCAGCTTGTGGCTCCGTATCAGGCTGCTTTACCAGTTGGACCTATGTGCATAATGAGTCAGGTGAGTTGACGGTACGGCATCAGTCTGTTGAATTATCACAATCTGATACCGAGAACAGTCAACATCTACTCCCACATAATAGGGGCCATCATCTTCATTCTGCTACCATTCTACATCTTCAGTGATGGCATACCAGCGAGATGGAACATGGCCTCAACCGCAGACGTGGTCGTCTGCACCGCCTACACCATCGGGGTGATTACATGTTTCGTCCTTTCCACGGCGTAAGTCCACTCAAGTCATCAACTTTCCCTGGTTCTGTCTTCCCTATCCCGAGATATTCGGAAGCGTCTAACAAAGCTGACGCCCCTTCAAGCTTCCACACCCTCATGTCCCACAGCGAACCCATCTACCTCTCAGGCATTAAGGCCGACTTCCACGGCGTCCTCGCCCTCATGTGGTCCTCCGTCTTTCCCCTGGCGCACAACGTGTTCCCCTGCTCACCCGCCACGCGGGACGCCTACGTCGCGCTGACGGGCCTGCTGGCCGCCCTCTGCGCCGCGGCAACGGCGAGGCCGGATTTAGGCGCCGTGGACTTGGGACACCACCGCGCCGTGTTGTTTGCTGCGTTTGGGCTCGCGGTGTTTGTGTTGCCCATCGGGCACGGGGTGGCGCTGGCTGCGGATGGTGGACGAGAGGTGTGGGATAGGGTTGGTGGGTGGTGGGTCTTGGGGACGGCTGGGTGGAATTGTGTTGCTGTTATTGTGTATTGGGCCAAGGTGAGTTATTCTTCTCTTATGGTTTATGTGAACCCTGATTCGGGTTCCGCGTCGTGAGGGGAGTTTTGTAGTTGGTGCTTTGGGCTACGGGAGACTTTGCTAATTGGTCTGGGGTCAGTTTCCGGAGAGATGGTTCCCGAGGACGTTTGACTTACTTGGGGCCAGTCATCAGTTGATGCATATATTTGTGAGTGAAGATCCCTGCTTTTGCTGAACTACTCAGATAAGTCGTTACAGAGGGCTTGCTGATCATTCCAGGTTTTGGCTGCTGCTCTTTCGTATGCAAAGGCCGTTGTGGTGGCTTTCGATTACAGACATGCACAGGAGCTTGCGTGCTGAAGTTTAGTCTCAGGCAAATAAACATAGAGGAAGAGTGAAAGATATTTAATGAACTGTAGGCCGGCATCATGTTCTAATTGTCTATTCGATTTATAGAGCATAATACGAAGTCTAATTAGTGATCTATGTATCCAATAGAAACAGTGCTTCCAAAGACTTTACATCCAGTGGTACTTCTCCAAAAAACAAACAACACTGATTCTCTATGGGCCGAATCATTGTTCACCGATGTTGACAATAACCTTCCCCCGTGCCCTCCCACTACCAACAATCTCATACCCGTCCACGGCCTCTTCAAATCCAACCTCTCTCTCCACGACAGCCTTGACTCTCCCATCCGCCAGCATAGCAACAACCTCCTCCATCAGGGCCTTCCCAGGATCCATCATCGCCGTCGCAGCCCACCGCCTCCCCGTGCCGCCCAACCAAGTCGAACGAGGCCACAACGCGTTCATCTGCATCGTCCATCCCGCCTTGACGAGAGCCCCGACGGACTGGTCAGCCGGCTTAATCCCCACCGCAGAGTACACACCCTCGGGCTTCAGATACTCTGCGCAGTGCACATAAACATCCTGCACACCAACACAATCAACAACAGCATCGAACCTCCTCCCCTCAGCCCCGAACTTCTCCCCCAGCACCTTTGACACAGGCACCGGACGATCCGCAGTATAATCCACAACCTCGTCGGCGCCCAGCCCCAGCACCATCTCCGCGTTGCGTCCCGAACAGACGCCGACGACGTGGCCCTCCCGCCCGACGATGGCGCGCGCCATCTGCACGGCTAGAGACCCGATGCCGCCGCTGGCGCCGTTGACGAGAACCCTGTCGCCTGCTTTCAGTCCCGTCGCGCGGATGGTCACGGCGGCGGTGCAGCCTGCCGTCATGACGCAGCTCGCGTCGCGGAGGGAGACGTGGGAGGGGACGGGAACGGCGTAGCGCGCGGGCAGGAGGACGTGTTCTGACAAAGCGCCGGTGCCGGTTGGCCAGGCGTAGGATATGGGGAGGAAGGCTGCGACGCGGTCGCCCTGTGAGAAGAAGCGGGAGGTGCTGCTCTTGACTGCTGCAGTTGTGCTGGGTCCGGCGTTGACGGGCGTCGAAATACCCACATTTGAACCGGAACCGGAACCGGAGTCGGGGCTCCACACATCCGTTACGGTCCCGCTTAGGTCCCAATCCGGAACCGCCGTCTTTGCGCGCACGGCTCCGGGTAGCTTGGTGACGTAGAGGTGTCCGCCCGGGTTCAGGGCCGCGTGTGCGACTTTTACGAGGAGCCATTGGTTGCCGTCGGCGGCGCCGGGAACGGGTTTGGCTTTTGCGAGGAGTTGGGCGGTTGGTGGGAGGGTTGGGGCTGGTCTGGAGACGAGGGAGAGGACGGAGCGGGGGGTGCCGCGGTTGGTGAATGTCCAGGCGCGGGATGAGGCCATGTTTCGTTCAATTCTCGGGCCTGGGAAGCCAAGGATGAATTGTTTGAATGGATGAGAGCTTGGTATAAATATATATTTTGGTGATGTTTGATTTTGTTCGAAGCCTAGAGAGAACGAGGATATAGAAGAGCAGGCCAGGAAGATGATTCTTTATTGAAACTTGTTATATACTTTGCAGGTGTCTCTTTTGTCGCACTCCAATGAGTTCTTATACGAATACCATAACTGCACTTAGTTGAGGGTCGTCGTCAGAATCGGCGGAAGTCGGCGCTGCCTAACGGTTAAACATAACGGTCTGGTGAGGGCGATCCTGCCACATGGTATGCTGCGAGTGAGGGGACCAATAGTAGCCAAGTAAGAACGCCACAACTCGAAATTCAAGAATTATGTTCCTTTCTTCCTCTGCTCTCTCTCCCCACGACTCGGAAAGAGAAGAGACAACTAAACTGCCGCTTGCGTGTTACTAGTTAGCACCCCCATCTGCCATTCCGTACTCGTCAAGTTGAGCTGGAAGCCATGACGGAGATCGTTTCGATTGCTTGGAAATGATTGTGGCCATTACTTAGGCAGGCTGGCCCCGTCGCCTAGTAGATTAGGGAGTCGAGACTGCGGACGAGGTGTTGCCATCGAATGCGAAGAAGAGTTGCATTTTATCGTCGATCTACTGTGCATTGGACTGGCAGAACCTGATTGGCCCGCTAGCTATCCGTAGGCTAAAGGAGATGCTTTTGGGGGAAAGTAAGATTCAGAATCAAGCCATAATCTGAATACTGGCTTCTCGACACTGCAGCTAACTTTTGCATCCCCTTAGGCAATACTGTGTACTGTGTATGTGCTGCCGGACTAGGATCGTAGTTTCGGGTATTTTCTAGGCAGGCTGGAACGTCAAAAGTGGTCGTCCGAAGAAAGTTCACCAGGTAGCATCGGTATCAGGATACTGCGTTCAACGTAACACTGGCCCCAGCTGAGATTCAGATTCGAGTAAATATACGAGATTCAGTGTCGCGAACCCAAGTTCAATACTGAGGCCAGGCATGTCTATAGATACCCGAGTGGATGGCGATGCTTTGCAGTGAGGCCGAAGCATTGTGCAGATTCATCGGCACATGTACAGCAAGTCAAGGTACACTACCTAACCAAGCAAGTAGAAAGTGCAAAGGGGTTATCCGAACTGAAAACATGCGGCCAAAAAAAAAATGAAAAAGACGCGACGTGCAGCTGACACTTTTCTTTGAGCTGAATGAGTCGCCAGTTTGCCAGGTTCATCGCATTGAACCGTGTGGCACGGGCGACGTCTCACTGGCCTCACTGGCAGTCACGACTCACCAGATGGGAGTGGGACGATTTGTCTCGACACCGGTCGGGTCCATCGTCCATCCCCGCGACGGCTTGCCCTGAATGGAAAGTCTGGTGGCTGTGTGGCACAGCGGCACCGGCACGAAAGGGCGGCGTGTGGGGCGCCCCGGGCAGAGTGGGAAGTGGAGATGGAAGACACTTTGTGGACTTTTGGGGCGTCGAGGGCGAATTTCCCACCCAATGACAGTCTTGCCGCAGCGTAGTGGTCCCTTGGTAGAAGACCGGCGACCTGAGCTGACAGTCCAGTCCACCCAAGTCCAGCCAAAACCCAGTGGAGGGGAGGGGGGAAAAGAACGCCGGCAGGAGGTCCCTTGGTGGCCAAAGGAGGGCCAAGACTTTGGGACGCAGAATTCGGGGCCTGGAACCTTGTCGTGCCTGTCACGCTTGTCCACCGGAAAGCCAAAATAACCACCACCACCACCACCACCACCACCCATAAGGTACTTCCCCATCCCTGGTGCGTCTGCCTACGTCCCCAGGTGCCCAGGAACGCATACGGCCGTCGGCAACACACCATTCCTTTCTGTCTTGCCCATCCCCTCACAACTGTCCTGTCTCTCGTTTTTTTTTTCTGTTACCTTGCTGGGCTGTTGTTGTTTTCGTCTTTGCTGCCGTTGGAGCATTTGTTTACGCCTTGGTCTCCCGCATCTCCATCTCCATCTTCGACCTTACTATTGAGACATTCACTAGGCATCTCACAACGAAGACCACCGACCTACCTCTTCTCCTCCCACGACCACACCACAGCGTCGTTCCCTCAAGATGTCGATGCCAGGCGCCTTCTCTCCCGATCTGTCACCCTTTGAACCAGACTCCAAGAAGGACGATGCTTCCTCTGCCGCCGCCAACCCGCCGCCTCTCCGTCTCAACCAACCCTCCGACGCCTTCTCCCTCCACACAAACGACCCCTACTACGACGACATCGCCACAGCCTCGTCTTCCAATGCCGGCGACCTGCCCCCGTCCTACACCGACGAGCCCTCGTCGCTCGACCCAAAACACAACATAACCACCACCGTGACCCCGCTCCTGGCAGACGAGTCCGGCCACTCCCCGCTCCTCTTCCGCAGGGACCCCGAAACCGGTGCCGAAATCCACTGCTCACGCCGCCTCGACACCGACCCGGCCTTTCTCGAGTCCCACATCACATCTCTCGCCCAGTCGCCACCGAGACCCTACCTGCGCGTCCGCGGCACCCACACCGAGAGCATCCGCAAGCGCGACGACAAGACGGAGAGCAAGACCGTCGTCGACTTTGACGTCCGCGTCGAGCTTACCCCGTACCTCTACCGCGACATCGCCACCCGCCGCTCCTGGCGTGAGCTTCGCACCGCAGACAACTTTTCAAAGGTCCGCCGCGGTACCGTCTTCCCCACCCGTGCCCCGGGCTTCGGCGGCAGGTCTTCGGGTGCTCGAGGCGGCGCCGCCGGCGAGGAGGTGAGCAAGGAGCCGCCCACGCTGCGGGAGTGGTGCCACCGCTACTGCGCCTCGCACGCGGGGCTCAAGACCTTTTCGCTCCTGCGCACCGTGCCGGGCTTCGACGACGACGAGCGCCTCAAGGCTCGCCTCGAGGACCTCGTCCGCGCCACGAACTACCGCGGCCGCATCGACGTCTCCTTCCCCGTCCATGACAGCACGGTCGAGATCTACAACACGTGCCGCGTGAATCGCTGGCGCCAGACCACCTGGATCCGCTGGCTGTTTTATCTGACCTTCCTCTGGATCTTTGCGTGGCCCTACCTCTTCTTCCGCACCAAGCGCTTCGAGGTCGTCGAAGCCGAGTGGGCGTTTTCCAGGCGCCGCAGAGATCCCCTGACGGGTGCGGCGGGCGGCAGAGACTACGTCAGCCTGTCCGAGGCGGACCTGTACAACATGTGGGCGCGGGCCATCTCCAAGGCCGTGCTGGAGAGGAGGCAGGGCGAGCTGGACCAGCGCGACCTGCGAGATGCCGAGGGAAGACAGGACACGAGCTTCGAAGACGTCCTCGCGGGGATCGATCAGGAGACAACGAGAGGGCTCGTAAGGGCTGGTGTTAGTGCCATGAATGTTGTCAATCGACACTTTGGGTGGGGAGAGGATCGTTGATTTTTGGTCTCGGTCGAGCACAGCATGCTTTTTGATTTCCTTGTTCCTTGGCTGTTTCGTTCATTGGGTATCGGTGTCGTTTCCTCGGATAGGTCGCTTTGCTCGTCTTTTTGCTGTTTTTCGTTTGCTCAAGGCCGGAAGTGCGGGTGTCTTGCTTTCTTGTCCTTGTTTCCTGCATCGCCTCGTAATGATTCCCAGACTGTGACGCATCATGATTCTTTCTTTGCCCTTTTGGTTCGGGGATACCACTGTTTTGGCATAGGTAGCGAGGGTTCAGAGTACTTGCGAAAAGCACAGCATGATATATATATACATACGTAGTACCCAATCGAGACGAATTGCTATTACATCGGAGTAAGAATATCAGTGCATCGGGTGATGTGTAAAGTTGTGATCCGTGAAAAGGGCATAGCCATGGAGATATGTGCAGAAGCAAATGAGAAAATTAATGTAGTGTAAGAAGGAGGAGGAGAGAAATATCATGTTGCACCCGAAGCTTCCGTCCCATGTCTCACAAGCGACTGGACCCCGTCCGCTTCGTGTAAGCACCGCTCGAGCATCGTTAGGGTCTAGCTCCGTCCGGACGGCAAGAGCGACCGAGGAGAGCAGTAGTTTTTGGCGAAGGTCACCAATTGGACGAGTACGGACCGTCCGCACAGAGTTTAGGTAATCTGGACCCTGCGCCGACGGAACCCCGCCGTTTTGTTGTGCCCCGCCATCCCACCTCACCTCAACTCAGTCAATCTCACTGCGCCTAAACACTGAGAAGCTCCAAACACACTCACGAGCTCGCCAAGCCATTTCCCAACGTCGTGTCGTTCAACGTCCCCCGAATTCTTCAGCGACAAGAGAGTCTTCACTCCAGTTCAAGATTCAAACAGATTGCATCGGGGAAAGGGGGGAAGAATAAAGTTATGGAAGTCAAGAATCCGCGCCGGGTGTTGGCGGTCTCGCTCGCCGATTCGACGCAGCATTTGAGTAGAGTCATCAAAGGTTGGTGAAAACGGCACTCTCTTCTTTTCCCCCTGTTTGTTTACTTAGTCTGGGCATTCTCTCTCACTCCAAAGCGTCTGATTCTCATCCATCTCATTCTCATCAAGAGATGAAACGGGAATCAAGCCCGCCATCCCATGAGAAACTACGCAACGGCATCCTCATAATCTCACCGTAACTCGTCACATCACACCTTTCCACACACGCCCCCCCTCCTCCCCCGCAACTGGGGTATCTGCCAGATACTTGATACAATAATCATACTAATACGGAAGCGCAGATCTCACAGGCACCCACCCAGAACCGGCATCCACAACCCTCGCAGGCACAACGCACATCCTCCCCATCAAGACGAGCTACTACACCGCCGACGTGCCCATCTGGCTGGACCTCGTCGACTCCCCAGCCGAGTGGTCCGCCTCCTTTCTCTCGCCCGAGGCGAAAGAAGTTCTCACCGTGCTAGGCGGGCTGGCTGTTGTATTCGCGCTGCCTTCTTCTTCGCCTTCTGCTTCCTCGTCTCTTTCTTCCGCGGTCCCGTCTTCGACATCAGCATCGGCGCCGGCAGACGTCACCACCACTCATGCCACCGTCGCGTCACCACCAGCACCAACCCCCCAGCCCTCGCCAGAGGACACCCGCGCACTCATCACCGAGGTCGGGAGAGTCGTTCGCGAAGGGCTCGGCGGGTGGGGATGGGACGGCGTCGGGTTGGGCATCGGCGTCGGGGATGGCACGGCGGACGAGTGGGAGGATCTCTGCGCTGAATGGGGACTCGAGTTCGTTCAGGTTCGTGGGGGTAAGAAGGATGATGGCCGGAACGAGTTTGGAGGTTCGTATCTCGCATCTGCCCCTGCTTGTTTCCTCCTTTGTCCCTTCTTCTACTTTTCGGCTTCTCCTTTGCTCTGAGCTATTCACTCTTCAGCTCATACCCTCGAGCCTTGCTTCAACCCTCGAGGGCCGTTTTGGGAAGAAGGAGTCATGGGGGGGTAGAGGACCTTTGTCCCGGAACTTACCCCTATTCGACACAACATATCAAAGGCCCGAACATACTGACATCCCTTCTCTGGTAGAGAAAATGGGCATAGCAAGAGTCCTCGAAGCCCTCGAATCCAACGACTGGGACGCCGTGGACGCCATGGACGGCCCGTCGGACCTCGACTCGGACCTCGACGCTGCCGCCGGCGATTTACCCAGGAAACCTAGACCTCTAGCAGGCGGCACCGGCAACGATGACGACGACGATGAGTTTGACCTCGACGACCCAGAGAACCTGGATTTCGGCTTCGACAGAGCGGATTTCGAAGGGTTGAAGAAGGCGATTTGGAATCTCGAGCAGGAGCAGGAGCAGGAGGAGGATGAAGTAGCAGAATGGGGAGCACTGGGAACGGGGAAAACAGCGAGTGGAAGTAGAGGAGGCGCTGCTACAACCGAAATCCCGGATGCAAAAGAGAAGAAGGGCAAGGACGAAGAAAAGGAGGACCTGGATGCCGAGGACGTGGAAAAGATTGAGCAGATGATGCGCAAGTTGCAGGCTGTCCGGGACCTCAGCGCGGGTCTGCCCGAGGACCAGAGGCGGAGGATGGCGAAGAAGGCTGTTGGGGAGGTGATGAAGGAGCTTTGAAAGGGGGGGAGGGGGGCGGGGGGAGAAAAAATATCAAAAGGACGCTTCTGGCTCTTCTGATTTGGTCTGGTCTGCTGTGCTCTAGGGGTCGGGGCGTTGATATTGGTCATCCGTGTCATCATGTCCGCTGCACAGAGACTTCATATTCCCGGAAGCAGAACACGAAAGGCACCGCTGGGATGGAAGCGGGATTAGGGAAATGGCTTGCTGGTTGGCTGTTCTGAGAGGGTGTCTACCCTCACGAGCAGTTCGAAGAGCGTGGCGTCCTTTCTCTTGGGCAGTAACAGTGACGGAAAAAGAAAATGAACTGGCTGGAACTTGAAAATTTCCAAGTCCCTCCCACCAGAAATCTCGTCGGCAGAAACCTCACGCTTGTGGCTATTTGAAAATCAAGGTCATGACCTTTCCGTGTTCTATACAGGAGAACGAGAGAGAGAGAGAGAGCCTTCGATCAAGGGTCGAAGGCAGCAGCGCCTACCTTCAGACCAGAGATGCCAGCTCCCGCCGTCATTGAGAGAGAGGAAAAGGTGGCGTAAAGACATACCCAGGGACGTCAGGTCTGAAATGCGGAGAGAAAAGGGCGCAGAAAATCGATCTCGTTTTTCCATGAAGCAGAAGCATTCGAATGTTGGGGCATTCCTTTTCCTCCCGTGATGCCTTGCTCCTTCCAGGTTTTTGTAAGCCCAGCCTCCCAAAACGAACCACCTCGGGTATTGGAGATATTGCAATGTTTTCCGGCGTTGAGTGGTCCATGATAGTTCTCTAGGTCATGCACTGAGGAAAAATAGTATACTTGGAGCAATGTGACAGGCGCAAGCGGTCCCTCGGCTGGATACTGTAGGCAAAGCAGCTGGCGTCAAAGCCGACCCTCTTACAATGCCAGATGAAGAAATCACAAAGGCAACTGTAGCCCTCACAACCCTCGAACTCATGGGAATTGTGAACGCACGCATGGAAATACTCGTCATCCCTCAGTCACGTAGTTTTGTACATATCGAAATCCCACATAAGCTCATTGATTCGGGCGGCGACATAAACCCGTCCAAATATGAGTTCGGCAACAGTTCTATGCAACCCGAGAGGCTCGACATGCAGCCAACGATATGTTCCATCTGCACCCCCTCAACTGTCGCCAAACCTATTCAACCTTCTCCATGTCGTTAGAATCTGCAACGGCCATCTTCAGCCAACTAGCAAGAAGCCTTGAGAGTATCCGTCGTATTATTGAGCTCCAGCTCATGAATTTGCTAGCGACCATGCTGAAAACAATATGGAGCAACAACGATAGTCAGTCACTACATCCAAAAGGGGCACCGCATAGGGGTAAAGCCTCCAGAAACGTGGCTTCCTGCTGATCTCCCGTGAGCAGACAAATTGTAGGCTATCCAAAGGACGTAGATCCCGGGATATTCAAGGAAAATGCTGCCCCGGCTGTGTACGCCTAGGTCGGCCTATTCCGAGAATCATAAGGCCTCTCCTATTTCTTTCAGTCTTCGACACGCCGCGTGGCATGCATAGAGTGTTGCTTCTTAGTGTAAGAACAGTCCCCCATCCCAACATCTTCCGCAAGCTGACCCGTTTTGGGGCAGGGGAAACCGAGGGCGTGGTTAAGCAGACATATAGGTTTGCGTTAGACGGCTTGGAAATATAAAGTGAACCCACTCGAATCGAGCAGTTCGGACGGTGGGCGAAGGAAGCAGGGAATCCATTAGTATCATGCGGCAAGACTAGTGTACGCAGTCAGTCCATACTGTCAAAGGTCGTTCGTCACTTGGGTTAGGCTTCGGGGACGCTCCGCGCTTGAGTTTACCTATACCGAGTCATGAAAAAGAAGCCCTCTGTAGCTCATGTCAATCGCCGAGAAGCTGGATCAACCCGGGAGAATATATTGATCCGAACAATTTGACGGTCAAGTCCCGTCTCGGGTCAAGCAGGTGTCAGCGGGAGGCCGGCCAGGGGACCCGTCTCGGTGAGGGCCGGGAAGAACATCAGACGAACGCTAGCGTCGATCCTCTTGCAAGCCCTTGTGCGATCTCGTACAGATGCACGACGTCGACGTCGCAGACAGACGACGAGCAGGGACAAGTCCGGCACAGCCTCTCCATATGGCCCACAGCTTGGTTATGCCGACGTGGTTCCCCTCCTCGTTCCTATCCCCTCTAGAGGCCCGAGCACGCACGTCTTTGTAGCAATAGAATGTTCTGCCGCGCCTCGCCAAACAATGCGGCGGAGCAGCGCGTTGGAGACCGCCGACGCATGACTGGTGGTCTTTTTCCTTTCCTTCACGAATCCTCCCTCCTCTGCCGGCGGGGAAGCTAGGCTCAATCGGAAATTTCTCAGCGATGCTTGTAATGCTTGTCGAGGAAGCGATAACCTGCTAAGTTTCAGCAAACTCGATTGGGAATGCTTGGCCCGGTATCACGGTAGTTTTGGGTACCCTGCTGCGCTGTTGGGGGCTTCGCTAGACGCTGCATTCATGATAGTTGGCGACCGATGGTCGATTATATCCCAGCATAGAGGGCATTTCCGTACGGGTAGGCTGTAGCCAAGTCGATTGAGGAGAAAACTAATCGTCCGAGCTTACTGGCGCGATGCTGTGGGATCTCGAGTTTTGCCTCACAGTCGCTAGTGAAGATCAGGCTCGTTGCACAGCATCTCTCATATGTAATGGGAAGTAAACAATCGCAACATGCGCAATGAGCATGCACCATCTTGCCATCGAGGCTTCAAAACAATGCACCTGGAGCAAGCAATGGCAACGCGTCAAGGCGCGTTTCTCAATGTGTTGTCGCAGCGTCGCGAAGATCATTCATGCCTCGGCGGAGCCCCAGCTTTAGCAACTTGCCTATTGGTCAACGTTTGCGGAGTGATTATGCTCTGTCAGTTGTGGACATGGAGCTGAATGCGTTTGCAGGCGACATGAAAGCTCTGGGCCTCCAAACGTGGCTACAGAAGCAGAACCAGATTTTTGGGACGGTATCGATGGCAACTGACAGTCTGACAGCCATGAGCGTTTCGCAGTGTGGAAACAAAGGGACGACAAAAGTCTGTGAAGCACGCCATTATCAAGCCAAGCCAAATTAGCCAGCTATCGACAACACGGGCTTGATGGAGACTGTAGCCTTTTCGGTAGCTGCGGATGGTCAGCTGACAGGACTCCCGGAGCAGCAGATCTGATAGATGGACCCTGTATCCGTAAAGTGTCAGACGCTCTCGTGTTGCCTGGCTGTCAGTAGCCGATTTCCATGCCACCGTTTGATTCTGTGGGTTGGTGCCACCGACTTTGCGGCGGAAATGTCAGCGATCCATCTCGCCTATTCCTCGCCTTGTCTACCTCTTGCGGCAATCTTGCGTATTACCCATAAAGGGTCCAGCAACAAGAGCCGGTCTCTCAAGGGCTCCCGGCAAGCGAGGATTAAGTCTGCAGGGCTCGAGATAGGGGGAGGGGCAAAGCCAAGGGAGTCGGCCGGGGATTTCGGGCTCGCAATGTTCGACGATTCTTCTGGAACGAATTCACCAGGCTGTGAGATTGGGGTCCCCGTCCGGCGTCCGGTGATGCTAGCAGCGATGAACCCCAGACGGGCAGATTCTTTGAAGCAATGGGCAGCTCATACCGGCGACCGCGAAGTCCGGACACAGACGGCAGCGGGTTGGCAAGTCAAAAGAGGGCGATGGATGCCACAACCAGATTTGGCCCGCCGTATTTACTGACGACCGTCGTCGGCTTCGGTGGCTGAGTCAGTAACAGAAGTGTTTAGATTGTTTGAACCCAAGGCCAACGGCGAGTGGGCATCCAAAACGACGATCTCCCACCAACAACGCACGGAACTATGCGACGGTCGGTTGTCAATAGTCACGGCTAGACTTCCTGCTCCCGTTCTCCTTTATGCGGCGAAAGAAGATAGTCATCTATGTTCCGTACGGATACTCCCCCAGGGTTCTTGGTTGATATTTTGCGGAGGAAGCACGCTGCACAACGGCCGCGCTCCGACAGGGCTCTTGTCTGACAGTTGTTGTTGAACGGGGCCGGAGGCGGACCGGGGGACTAGGACTGGAGACGCGAGCCAGAAGCGGGAAGAGAAAAGATCAGACGAAAAAGGCACGACGCATCCGCAGAATGAGGGCCCATGGGGCCAGAGAGGCGTGGAAAGGCAGGGGGAACCTCAACCAAGGCTCTCTCAGACTCTCACCCCTCCCTTTCTCTTCCTCCAGGCTCCATGTCTGATGATTCTGCCCTGGTTCCATGAGAGAGAGCCTTAAGCCCTGAGCCATGAGATGCTGCGGTAGTGGCTCTCTCTCTAACCCGACAAGGAAATCCATCGACGATCTTTCGCCTGACCGAATTCGGCCAGGTTTCAAGCATAATGTCCAATGAGAGTGATTTGACTTTGACAGATCCCTGTTGTTCTCCTCGAGGCTGGTTGGCTGAGCCGCAGCGTCCCTGAGAAAGTTGCAAGGTATCAACATCAGCGCTCAGGGGTAAAAGCGGATCCTGCTGAAGACAACCTGGAGCCCTGACACCGACTAGTTCTCAGGGACAGTCTTCCGCATTCCTCAACACTGTGCTGACTTTCTCGCACTTCGTGCACCCCTTCAAGGAGACCAATTCTGGAAAACGGAGCCGAATTGTCATGCATCACCGACGTAATGCCGTCCCTCTCCGTTGCTCCACGACTTTGCTTCGGCGCTGACAGCGGCGTTGTCTCGTTTGAGCAGAGAAGCCTGTGGACTCTCGAGTGATGTTTACCTCGTTTCCATGCAGGATAAAGTCAAACTCTATGCTTCGTCGCTCGGAACACTTGAAACGAAGCCACTTGGTTGGTTAGAGAACAACAAAATACCAACAAGACCCCCGTCAGCCTTCCGGGGGGGGGGGTGCTTCTTTAGAGGACCACCTAGCCGGGATGAGGACCGCCAATGCCATGAATACAAGTACAAAGGCAAATGCAAGTGCAGACATGGAGGTATTATTTGACCTTGAACTTTGGATGGGCGGAGGATCTCATTGCTATTTCGGGCTTCCTGATGGTGTCTGGTAGACTTGTAGCCGCCTTTACGGAGTCCGTCTATCTTAGTGATACGCCGACGCGTGCGCGAGCATGGGACATTCCGATCGTTTGAGCTCCATTCGACGGCGCCACGCCTTCGAGGAACGATGCCGGCGGCAGCGAGCGCCAATGAGCGCTTGGGCGGAACATTTCGTCTGAACTTTTTGTCATCTGACATTGGCAGAGCATGTCCAATGTCACCGGCCGTGATCAGACCGAGACGTCTGAGCATATTAAGAGTCAAAGCTCCGGCAGTCGCGCAACCGCAATCCATCTGCTGCTGCCGAACTTCACGGATGTGCTTCTCGCGAATGCAAAATATTTGTCCCCCGCCGCTGGCCGATGGAGCTCCTCCACCAATCTTGAAAGGGTCGCCGTAGGACGGCCGGATGGCTTGGAGCTTGGAGGTAGCTGGCCGGATGATCAAAGGCAGTTAGCGCTGCGTTACAGTGTCTTCGGTGCATGTGGCACTTGGGTCATGGGATGGGTGTTCTGGCTGCATAACGCTTCTGCAGGTACGAGGTAACACAAGTTGCGTCTCCCAAAAGCCAAGGCCGAAGCGGAAGGCTCCTGGAAAGTCGACGAGAGTATGTCGCTGCCTTTGGTCTAGCAACGGAGGGAGGATCGATGCGAATTCCAAAGACCGTTTCGAGCTCGAACGTGAGGACGGCGAAACAAGACCAGTCGTGGGCCTTGTGCTGAATAGCATTGGTTCGCAAGATGCATACTGGAACGCTCAAAGTGTGCAAAAAAGACCCTCCGTCGTGCAAAGCGATCTTTGTGATGCCCTAGTGTCTTGTCTGAGACATCCCTTTGGTTCCCGGCACTCCCACAGGAATGGCCAGACGATCGCCCCGACGCGTTGTTTTCAAAGGTACGACGTTTCGATGTCTGTTGCAGACGCGAGACAAGGCCAAAGGGAGATGCCGAGCATGGAGCAAACATAGTTCACCTCAGACTTGTGCGCAAAGATGCGTGGCGGCACCATCCCTCGGTATGACGGTCGACGAGGTCGGCTGGTATGTAGTTGGGCGGGTTGAACCTCAGCTCAGCATGGGGAGGCCCCTTTCTCGACGTGTCATTTGTGGAAGTTAACGCCTGTTTATTCAGTGGTTCCAGAAGGCACCGACGTATCTCGGGCTCTAGGTCGAAGCTCTCTGGAACTGGCTTGGTCTTGATGGTCCGAGAAGGGGACGACCTCTGGAGGCGCAAACCCCGTGCCGTTGGCGTCCCCGGCGGGATGGCCTCGAAATGACGAGAATCTCCCCAAGAGCATCGGCCATGTCATGAAGCCATCACCCCATCGCTCGATGAAAGAACCGAGCGGGCGCAAAGGCGACGTGGAGATGGGCGTCGAGATCTGCCCCGCGAATAAGTGGATGGTCGGGACTCACTCGGGCGAGCAGTTTGGCGGCCAAGAGAATTGCGTAGTTCTAAGAGCCGTGAACCGTCTGCTTGGGTGTGCATAGTGGGCACGCCGCTCGGAAAGCTGCTGCTATGACCAGTAATGAGTGAATGTCTAGCTGGTCCGAGCCTATCTTGTTTAAACTGTCTTTTGAACGTTGGCCCCGGCCCAAGCCGTCGGCCAGATACTTCGTGATTGAAAGGTGCTAGGTAGGTCCAGCAAAGGAGGCTTTGCACTTTGGCTGAGTCGTCGGTTTTCTTGTGCTGAATCAGTCGAACTCAGTATGGCGGTCTTGACTAGGAAGACCTTGTCAGCCCTCGGCGATAGGCGCTAGCGCAAGGCGTACGGGTCGAGTGAGGTTCAAAGTAGTCTTGTCTCCAGGTCGAATACGTGATGGATCCATTCCGAGCTGGAGGCTCACAAAGCCGGGACGGCGGCGTCTGAGCGGACGCTTGACCGCCAGTCGCATATTACCGGCTACAGAAGTCTGTGGATCAGCTATCGTCTGGCAGGTGTCTCTGTGCTGCGTGACTGTTGCGCACAGCGACAGGCGTCACCGTACCCAGCGAGACCGACCCTTTTTTTCGCCACGGATCATTCTTGTTCAGAAGATGGAGAACGGAGCCTTGCAGATCCAAGCCTGAAGACGGATGCTGAGGACGAACGGTGTGTGTGTGTGTGTGTGTGTGGGCAGAACAGCAGCCAGGCACCGCATACTGCATATGTGAGGTCAGGCGGCACAACGATCCACGACAGGAGCTGCCTGGATCGATGACTGCATGTCCTGGACAATGATTGACGGCCGTCGATTCGATTCGACGAAACCTTGTGTGCTATTTCGAGAGGTGCCTGGTTGCCATGACGGGTTTGTGTGGTTTCGTTTGGAGTCGTTTGTGACACGGCTTGTCAGGATGCAGTCGACAAAATCTGGCGGATCATTGTGTACCTGACACGGCTTGTGTGATGAGGACGCGTCTTGGGGGCGAGGGGAAAGCGTGAAAGTCGGGCGAGGAGGACGAGGAGGGGGAGCATGGATCGCCAGGAACAGGGACAAGACCGGACGAAAGAGACGTTAGGTACGACACAGTGTGGGAGCGAGGAGTTGAAGACGAGCCGGCGATGTGACGCTGGACTATGCGGCTTGTCCCAGTTGCGAGTGGTGCATTGTGAATGCAGTGCAGTGCAGTGCAGTGCAGTGATGCCATCGCGATCGACCGGCGCCAGCAAAAGACGCCCTCGACCTGCAGTATGATGCAGGTTGACAGGACCATGTTGAAAGTTCACGCTGCAACCGCATGTAGACCTGATTTGGAGACTTGGAGCGAGAGAAAAAGAGTGTGGATGAAAACCAACTAGAGGTTCCCATTGGGAAAAGACTGGATGAACGACGTGAGCAGGGGTCAGGGAGCGACGTTTCTAAGGTGGACACATCCAGCGTACCTTCCTCCGTTCGGGTACCTTACAGCTAGCGAGTGGTTCTTTCCTTAGGTTTGGTGCAAGTGCGACTGGCAAGTGCAACGGAAGGCGGAGAAGCCGCGCACTGTGAGCAAACCGTTGCGGGTCTCTATGCGTTGAGGGGGAGTGTTCATACCTTCCCCCATGAGAGAACCTAAGCACCCCTGCCACCGTCTCGCGGACGTGAGACTGACGGGATAGTTTGAGCCGACTAAGCCTGCCGTTTTGCCCGCACATGACGAGTCTTGTTCTAGGATATTTTGGCTCAAGGTACTCCGCACATTACCTAAGCACACCAGTAACTTGACATGGGAAGCAAGACAGCCCAGAAGGGCAAACGGATGGAAAGTGCGGGAAGGGATGGAGTAGGAGGGACGCGACAGATTGGCGGGATAAGGTGTCATGAGAATGCATAACAAAACACATTATAGCACCCTCCCCTACCCGTGCCTGGATGTCGGGACGAGATAACGGCTGGGATTCGGGGACTTTAGACTTTGGATGATCTTGACGTCGGAGGGTTGGAGGAAGTCTGACTGGACTGGTTGGTCTTGATTCTCGAATAACCAAAGAGCAAGCATCCGTATCGTTATCCGTAAAGCATGGTGCGGATGTCTGAGAGCTCAGAGGGGGGACGGATACATAAGGTAGGTACCTTACGGAAACAAGCCCCTGTTCAAACAGCACCGATAAGACGGTCGTGGCTTTGCGGCTGCGAGTCTTTTGGCGTCGTTCGGTACAGAGTATGGAGTGCGGCTGCATCTTTCGCATGAGAACAGCCCCGAACCGAGTGGTTCGAAAACGAGTTGCCTGCTGACTCCACTTGAAGTTGTTCGTGTCGTCTACGTACGATACCATCCGTTGCAAGTCCAATACAAAATCCACTGCTCTTTGTTCTCTGGGCCAAGACATGTTTCTATTCGTTCCTTGCATCCCCTTTCTTAAGCTGCCGTCCGACCTGGGTGTCTGCATTACCTATGGATTCAAAGTACGTACCTTGTCAGTCACCCCTGTGCCTGAGGACCGAACCAAAAAGATGGACCCCGTCCATGCAACTGTGCTTCACTGCTTGCTCCGTTCTGGGCCCACACAGTCTCATCAGCCACAGTCACAGCCAGACGTGTACGTACTTACACATGCAAAGTATGGAGCACGTACTCCATAGACGTGGACTTTCCTTTCCAAGTCATGCTTGACGGGAATCTCCTTGGACCTTCCGTTCATCGTCCCACCGTCCGGCTCTTATGCCTCCCTTTCCCGGCAGAATGCCAGAATCTACAGGACCAAGCCTCGAGGCCGAGCCTTCCAGGGCGATCAACAACGGAGCGAGGATGCGGACGGTGGAAGTTGACCACTGACAGCCAGACAGCGTGAGCCTTGAGGGAGATCCGCACTTGCCTCCACAGATGCTGATGCAGCGCGCATCAGACACCGGCCGCGATTTTCTCTTACGGCCCCCAAAAAGGATGGAGACTCTCTCGTCCGTCTCCCCTCACTTACCGCGCAAGGTACGGCCATTTTGGCGGAAAGCGCGACACATTCTGCGAGTATCTTGCTCTGCTTCAGTCTCCGGCCGTGGCCCATGCTTCGCGACCCACGGCGTCTGGCGTTGCGTTGGACGAGAGTCACAAGACGGTGAGGACCAAAAGGATAGGCGACACGATTCGTACCAAGTACCCATAGCGGGCAGCGAAGAGACTGGGCCGGATGATGCGCACTCTCTCGCCAGTTACCTTACCTCATGCTTATGCGGCATCTCTCGAGCCGCAAAACACGTGGTAGTGTCTGTCTACAGAGTAGACGGATACTCTTTAGTTGATACTAGCCACTAGCCTGGCATCGGACACGAGGTAGGAAAGGATGGACGTTTTCTGATAATCAGAGCCTGAGGATCCGTTCGTGTAAGTACTGCGAAGGCATGATGCTGTGTGTTTATCGGCGTCCAGGTCGTGGACGGATACCGCGCGATTCGATTCAATGCGTCCATCGGGCGCGACCCCGTGAACCCAACAAGAGCGAAAGAGAGGCACTCTGGCACTTGCCGGTCTCCCTTTTGGCCTCCCGCTTGCTGGGATAGGCCTCCCTTTTGTCGTGTATGGTCTCTCCTCGGCCGCTGCATGTTTCTGCTCCCCCACCTTTCTCTCAATGGCCACTGGGCACAAAGAAGCAGTCCAGCATCAACAGGGCAAGGAACTGCAGCAATGAGCAGGGTCATGATCCATGGCGGGTGCGATGGTGCACCTCCTATCAGCAGCCCCGATGAACCAACGGCGGCGCGCGGCGTTGCGGCGGTGTGTAGTCATTCTGGTGTGGGAGAGCGGAGAGAGAACGAGACTGGTCTGGCTGGTTTGGCTGGTCTGGATCTGGATTGGGGGATACGGATGCATGAGGTGAGGCGCAGGACGCAGGAACAGGTCGACAACGCATACTCGCATGCACACACAAGGTGCACAATTACCAGCTCGAGTACGGAGTACGCCCACGCAGTAGTGTAGAAGCAGGATGGATGAGAGACGGGACGGATGATGGAGGCTAAGAACAGCTATGCAGGAGAAGGAGAGGAAGAGACAAAGTGGAAGCGAGAGAGAAGGTCAGAAAAGGCTAAACGGGGGGGGGAACAAACCGCTAAAGCCACTTGGGGCAAGGTTTACCAGCTTGGGACAGGTTCCGTTCATCGGCGGCAGGTACGAACGGTAAAGTGGCTTTTCTCGACGAATAAGAGAAGGCGCGTACCTGGCACTACCCTTGTGCACCCAGTCATTGTGCACTAGCCACTGGCCGCTGGTCGCTGGTGGTGTCGCCCATACGTCCAGCCCCGGTCCTCGTCTTCGTCCCCCGTCAACGTCCGTCGTCCAGACTTCAAGTGTCCACATCCACGTCCAGTCCGCCGCGTCCACCTGTCTGGGTGCGTCAATTGTCTGGCTTTCACAGTTTTTTTCTCCTGTGCGGCGTGCGGCGTATCTGCCCCATCCACAGTTCCACACCCATTCGTGCTGTGGACACTGAACACTGCACCTGCAGTTGAGGAGAGAAAGGGACCTGGACGGGAACGAGCAAGAGCAAAAGCTGCCCCAAACCCTGCTTGCCAAAAAAGGGGCGGGGGAAAGAGGTTACGGAGTACCTTACTTTACCATAAGGAAGGTGCATTCACATGATGCGTACTCCTACCTAAGGCTAGAGCATACGTTTTCCAAGTACCAGACTCAACCTGGACCTCAACTTCAGTCTCCTTGCTCCGTACGGAAGAAGGTACCGTGTATGGACCCATGGAACCTATGAACCGTTTCTAACTGGTGCCTTTCACATCAACGGTCCCATCCATCTATCCTATGCCCTTGCCCATGACCATCCCGCAGACCGCACACACCACTGGCTGCTGAGCCGCCGCTGCACACCTCACGTCCCACATCCCACGTCCGGTCTTTCCTTCCCCCTGTCATCCAAAGACCCCACTTTTCCACACCTCACCCCAACTCGACTCGCCTCACACCCTCGTCCCTCACCCGCCCGCAACCCACACGCCTCACTCCTCTCCTGGCCCTGGGGCCGTCCATCCAGACCAAACCTCTTCCCAGCGAGGAGCCCTAGACAGCACCTCAAGTATTCGTAGTGGGAGAACAAGTACCCAAGGCGTGTCTACAGGCGCAACACAGTAGGTGAGAAGCGAAAAGGGAACTCCTGGAGCTAAGGCGAGTCCATGGGAAAAGGTACCTTGCCTTACACATAGAGGGGAGAGAGAGAGAGGAGGAGACAGGCACCTCACACCTACCCAGGAACAGGGTGGATTGGCGCCGGTTCCTTCGTTCGTTCGTTCGTCTGTTCTGTTCCCTTTTTTTTTTACTGGGGCCCGCCGCCTCGCGCCCATCCATTCCTTTTCCTTTTTCTCCTCTCTTGCCCCCATCCCTCCTGGTGTTCTTCCTCATCCCATCTCCTCATCGTCATCCTCGTCGTTCACGACAATCCCTTCCCTCCTATTCCTCTTCCCCCACTCCTTTTTTTTTCCTTTTCACAGTCACTCTCTTGAAATAATTCAACCATCTCAACTTCCGAATCCCGTCACTCCTTTCCGGGTATTCTCATTACGTTCCTTCCCGTCTGGTTGAATTACACACATTCGTTCTTCGCGAACCAAACGACACTATTCACACATAAATCTCACCTCCTGTTCCCCCTGTTGGATCAGAGACCACACTCCTTAGCATCTTTTGCCTCACAGCTCATTCTATACCTTCCCTTAGCTTTCACAGCACCATACCTGTTACCACCCATTTACACCTAGTACCGCATCTGCGCGTTTTCGTGAACTATACGATCCTCGACATCCCGATCACCTCCTGGACGCGACTAATACCGAGACTCCCTCACCTCGCGAACATCCGCCCACCCTGATCTGATCAACCACATCGCACCACATCACAAGCGATCAGCCTCTTCGACTCCATTCTAACCGAACGAAGGAATTTCGAGAAGGAAAGAAAGAGAAAAAGACATGGCTACCGAGGTCGAACACCCCGTGGGCCTCGTCCAGCAAGTCTCGACACCCGGCTCATCCACCCCTCAGGATGTCTCTCCCACATCCGCCCACAAGATGGACCAAACTCCCTCCCCCTCCACCTCTACCCACAATGGACAGCCTCCCTCTTCGCAATCAAGGCGCCCGCCGCGCAAGAGCACCCTGACCCAGCAGCAAAAGAACCAGAAGAGACAGCGCGCGACTCAGGACCAGTTGACGACTCTCGAGGTGGAATTCAACAAGAACCCAACCCCCACTGCCACCGTCCGTGAGCGGATAGCAGAAGAGATCAACATGACCGAAAGATCTGTTCAGATCTGGTTCCAGAACAGGTACGCCCTCTACTGCCCCTCGCCTTCCGGTTCTGCAGCCTGATACCCCTGAATTACCACTAATACTCCACAGACGCGCCAAGATCAAGCTTTTGGCCAAGAAGAGCCTCGAGACCGGCGAAGATATTGATTCGATCCCTGAGTCCATGCGAGCCTACCTCGCTATGCAGGCGATGGAGTCCGGCAAGGGTCTCGGCGGCCCCTTCCTTGGCCGTACCGGCCTTCTCCCCTACGGCCACAACAATATGCTTCTCGGCGGTGACCAGAACGGCCAGGGCAAAGTTTGTAAGTCTAAGAAGTCCCTGGCAAATCATCGACGAAAGCAGCACTAATATTCTCAGTGATCCATCATCTGACCTGCCGCTCTCTGAGCATCGGCAAGTGGACTCGCGTGGGACACAACACGATGGATCTCATCATCTTCTACTCCCCCGACAAGTGCACGATGACCTACTACATCAACAACGAGCAGGCGGGTTACAAGATCGAGTACCCATTTGCTTACATCAAGAACATCTTCCTCGAGAACCAGGAGGGTGACCCCAACAAGCCTGGTGGCATCGTCATCGAGCTGAACCGGGCTCCCAACTTCTTCATGGACTCCTCCCCTCAGGCCAGCGGATTCTTCCAGTGTGGCGACTTCACCGAGGACCAACAGGCCTCGCACTGCTTGGTTCACCACCTCGGTGGCAACCCCAAGGTTCTCAGCGGCCAGTTGGCTAAGCTTGTCTCCTTGGAGGCCTTCATGAACCGCAACAACCCGCACCCCTTCATCGACCAGCAGCACGCCCTGTCCATGTCTGCTCCTGTGTCCCCTAGCCGCCCTTCATCGCAGCCCAACTTTGCTCAGCCGCACGTTGGCATGTTCCAGGAGTCTTGGGGCATCAACCATATGCACCCCGGCATGCGCGGTCCTGGCCACAAGAGACAGCGCAGTCGCTCCGTGCCTATGGCCGTCGATTTCTCGATGCTCCAAACCCCCATGCCCTCCTTCTACATCCAGCAGCCGGGTGAGATGGCTGCTCCTCAGACGCCTGGTCCCAACATCTACGCACCGATTCCTCAGGCGCCCGGTGGACTCGGCCCGAATTTGAGAATCGACACTCAAGCCGGATTCGGTCTTGATATGCGCCAGTACCCCATGTCTGCCACCACCGCCTCTCCTTCCGAGTTCCCGACGAGCCCCAACTTCTTCTCCCAGGGCCCTGAGCCGAGCCCTCTCCCGGCCGCTTCCAGCTACAACACGCCGTACGGCAGTGCCTTCCTCTCCCCCATGGCCCACCCGTCACCGAGCATGATCCCGCCCTCCGTGTCTCCCCTCTCATTCGGCAGCCACCACGGTGAGCCGTCCATCGTTGAGCAGTCACCTCCGCTCTCCA